TAGTACAAATTTAGGCTTTCGGTTGTTTCGATAAAGGGTGAAACGGATCTTGGGCCGTGATCTCATTCACACGAGCAGATAATGATGCGACCTCATATTCCCACGTCTTTCGCCTTTTTTGCTGCATCCTAGACGCAACCAGACCCAGTCAGAGGCCACAGGACAGAAACACACCAACATACGCCACCAGTAATCCAGGGACGTAAGCCGCAGCCCGACCATAACAAACTGCACCTCCGAATACAACCAACTGCATATCCGACTGCAACCAACCGCATCGCCGACTACAGCCAACCGCACCTCCGACTACAACCAAATGTACCCTCGACTAAAACCAGCTGCACCATTGTGATCGACTCATTATTCCACTTTAAGACAACATGGGCTCACGGTCTTTCACAGACGGATGGAGCTCCGTCTGTCGCGTGCAGGACAGCTTCGCCCGACAAGTCCGGTGCAGTGCCCGCTCCCACGGCTGCCACTCTCAGCCAGAGGCCCGGCACTGCGGCCACAACTCCGTCCTGTCTGTCACAGCGCTCCCTTCCGTAATCTGTGCGCCGCCCGTTTGTTTCTTTCTTGCAAACATCCTGTTCTGTACGTTTGCATCGACTGTTGCATCGCAGGAGTCGGTCCGGAGTGATTTTCCTTTGCTTAACCGGACAAAATGAGCAGATTTGACATAAAATACTCGACACAAATTATAACCAACACTCCAGCCTCCGTAGCAGTCTTGTAGCCCAGACGTCTTAAAACATACGAGCACACGTAGAAAACGCGGCAGAAACATGGGTTGTTTTCCCCTTTCTCAGTGAGGCTCGGGTCATCTTAGGTCCATGACCTTTTCTGACATCTAGGAAGTCAACGGAAGATGTACAATGCGGTTTCTGCTGTCAATAAATTCAAAATGAGCACCACAATCCATCCCATACAGCCAGGCCTAGAGTAATAAATTAGGTCAATTGTGACCTTGGTCTGACCCACATTCCTGACCTCAGGTCAGCGTAATTTGCTCATTCAATATCTGTAGTACCTAAGAAGGTACCTCAGAGATGTATGGCTTCGTCAGACACTCCGTTGTTGTATCAGATTGGACGATTCCCTAGAAATTGCCTTTGCTGAAACCAAAGCCTGACTTTGACCTGCCATAGCTCAGCAACCATACAAGGTACATCTAAATTTTTGGATGTTAAACGATCTGCTTTTCATTTACCCACAACTATCAAAATTTGGCGCGGTTACGCCACGTCGTTCAGAAACCACTCTGGAAAAACCATTGGGGGTGTCAATTTGACCGCACACCCGAGCGCGCACCAAACAAATCTCTTAGGCGACGCTCTAATTCAGTGGAGCTAAGCTCAGCTCACCGGAGTAGTGGGGCGGGTACTTCCACCCTCCGTACGTGACGTCGGCCAAGGAGAGGCACGTTAAAGGCACGCAAACAGGTCCCAATATAAAAATGTGATGCAATCTGCGAGGTGTTCATCTATGATTTCTGTGGCTACGCAAATAAGCTTTAGAAGGGTATGAAGTGCTTATGTATATATATATATATATATATATATATATATATATATATATATATAATATATGTATAAGGCATGAAGTAAGAGAGGTTTTTGATCTGCACCCCAATGATGACTCCTAACAATCCGGCCCCCCAAACCTTTTAGGAAATCGATACTCATGCTTATAAGTGACCTGATTTCATCATGCTTCATGCTTTGTTCAATATATTCATTGAGGAACATTTCCTTTCAGAACGAAATCCCTGAGCGGCAAGACGGGCACTAAGCGGCGGCAGGCAGCCTGGAGCATTTGCTGAACTCATAAGTGCCCAAAGTGTCCCTGGCCGGTCAGGGAGTCCATCGAGCAGCCAGGAGGGCTTTTGTGCGATCGACATGGTCAAAGTGGTCAGTGGTCCCAGTCGTCAAACATGCGCAGAGGGGTTAAGCAGACTTTAATCGTCCATAGGGTTCTAAAGATGACTAAACCTCTCCGGCGAAGAAGCCCTCCGTAGCCGATGAAACGCTTAGTTGACGAAAAGGACCCAGTGCAGTCAGCCAAGGTCAGGACAGGCTACCCCAGCCAGCTGTCAAAAAAAGGAAAAGCCTTTATACTGCTAATCCAAAAAATGCCACGCAACAGCTGCCACAAACAAGTAAAGTGCACTCAAAACTTATCTGCTAAGAACTCTGCGATGTTAGGGGACTCCTGCTTGTTGAATATAACCGAAGCCCACCATGCTTTTAAAAATCTATGCAAAAGGATGAATAGCGATCCGTGGCAGAGTAAGGTTGCATATGTCATAGTTACGGTGTCCGTGTTCTCTTATTGCTCAGATACTAGCCTATTCAAAGCCGTCTTTCATTCATCCCAGAACACATTGCAACAATTTCTCAGTATATTTTGCATGATCATATACATTGTTACAAATACTGCAGGGCATGGTTCCATGTCAGGTACACAAAACCCGAAGTCGTTCTTTTATAAAACGGCGCTACCAATAGCACCTGGTACCTGCCAGTTACCAACGGTAAATGTAGACACACAGAACGTAATCAGCGGACATATTAAACCACGCAGCTTGACAATACATGACAGCTATGAAAGCAGTAGCCGATGACCACCTAAGGCATGACAATGAACACACTTCAATGCCTCAACAATTGACTAAATATCAATGCTTAGCTATCACACAGCCCAAAATTGCATGCAGAGTACGAAATCAGTCGTCACATACCAATCATTTGATACATCTAAATGTACATATGGCACACGCACACACTTCTAAAGCTGGCATCACATACACAGCCGATGGCACAGAATGCTATCACATACAAAAGAAGGCATAGCAAACCATGACAATGTACTTGCCACCCTGAGTGCGTAGGATAACCGGCGCCAATGCAGCACGAGCAATCAAACAAAAAGACCACTGACTGGTTGCATGCCAAACACTTACACGGGCATACACGCATATGTACAGCCATACAGAGTAACTGAGGCACCTGAGGTATTCAGTAACGCCCATGAGCTATTCCTCACAGCCCAAACATAGCCATAAGTGGTTCAACGGATCACCGTCAGCGGTCACGGCTCAACCATCAGTGTCCTCATCATCTGAGTCCTCGGGGAGGATCGCTGGCCAAACGCCCATCCACACTGTGGGCGGTGAGGGTCTCCGATCCTCCTCTTCATCTCCAACGTCGTCCTCCCATTCGCTGTCGCTTCCATCTGTCGAAGACTCGACGAAGTTCGCTTTCGTCTCATGCTCACACAGCGGCTCCGGGAAGCGAATAGCCAGCGGAGCGATCGGCTCATACCGTTCGCCGTCGAACCGGGTGAAGAAGCGACCCACTTCCTGATGGCTGATTGGCTGGGGATCCGGGGACAGCTGCAGCCCCTCTGCAAAGACCCAAATACCTCTGTTAGACGCAGACGCAAGTGGCGCTCTACGCCAGAATGGGAGCAAGACATCTCATCAATCTGCCGTCGTTTGGGGATCACTTAATAATATTTCTGAGTAGCAGTTCTGGGCGTGAATTGCACTATGTAGTGCACTTTCCAGTATGTCTGTGTAATAAAGATGCATTTGAAATTATGACATTACGATGACCAAGAATTACAAAAGATGCTGGAAAACCTACATCAGGGTATTACACACGTCAAACTCCATATAGGAGCTTCGTAATAAACATAAAGTATGCCCAATGCAACCAAACAAAATATTATGGGCGTGAATTGCACTTTATAGTGCATTTCCCAGTATGGATGAGTAATGACATCTGTGACATCTCATCAATCTGCTGTGGTTTGGGGACGACCTGGGAATATTTCTGAGTAGCAGTCATGGGCGTGAATTGAACTTAATAGTGCATTTCCCAGTATGGTTGTGTAATGAAGATGCCTTTCAAATCATAACCTTATGACGACTAAAAATTACAGAAGATGCTGGAAAACCTACATCAGGGTAACCTACATCAGGGTGCATCAGGGTACATCAGGGTACACATGCCAGACTGAATATAGGAGTTTCGTGAAAACATAAAGCATGTCCAATGCAACCAAACAAAATATTTATGGCACCCTGTCCATATTTCAAATACCAGGAGGGGGAGGGTCCATGTAAAAACTCCAATAGTAAGGTAAAACTCCAATAGAGTGAAGAGCACTTTGAAGAGCCTGCTTACCCTCAGCCATGTATCCGAACCGGTCACCCTCCAGCAGCAAGCTGTAGAAGGGTTGCTTGTGTCCGCGCTGAAGCCCGGAGCACACGCGACTATTTGCCGTCCAGTCCTGAAAACAACACCACCGAGTCAGCACAATAACCCACACCGCACGGCCGTCGTCAGAGATGAGGACGGGGGGGGGAGGGGGGGGGGGGGGCACTGAGACTTCGCAGGAATACCATTTAAGAGCTCACATGCGTCTAGCCACAACTGTAACAAGTTGATACATTTACGTGCCTATCACCTGATGCATCGATTGGTTCTTCGAATCAAGCAGGGAATATGACCACTGCAACATACTTGTATGAAACCACAATAGATGTTTGCCATACAGCGAGGGCACACATTCAAAACGATGTATAGACAGACAGGACATTGCAAATTACACCTGACCTCAGTACATACACAAAATACCAAAATATTACACACATCGCATATCCTCCATTACAGAAAACAACTTCGATGGTTGTGGGGTTCGTATAGCACAAGTCACACAATGAAAGAATGATTATGCATGCGGTGATTGGCTTGCCCTGAGAGAAGCAACAACAGTACAAAGCAGTTCCTTTGAGTCCTCAGAAAATATTACCTCACTACACCAATTCTCAACACAATAGGACAAATGACCTCAGGCAGGGTCTGCCCTGTACGACAATCCCACTGGTACCGCTCCTACCTGTGAGATCTCGTAGCATGGTGAGCAGCCGTACACCACAGCCAGGCACCCGTCGCCGTACGTGACGACGTCACCCACACCAAAATGCCTCCGGTAGTCGCCCACTGCTCGGCCAGCCGCGCGGAGGTCCGCCTGAAACACGGATAAAGAGAATGAGGATATTGCACACAACACAAGGAGATAATGAGACATCAGGATTTAAAACGGGCATTGGGACGCTGGAAATAACTGAGAAGAACATGAGCTGAGAAGACAAAAACGAGAATCAGTAAGCCCAGAAACTATAACGTGGAAAATAGCACATCCATAAATGCTCGAAACAAGCGCCATGTAGGTTACTTATGAGGTGAGGACAACTCACTACAAACTAAATGAGAACGTTACTAACTGAGAAGTTAATAATACATTCCATAGATCAGACAACAGGTTGACAATATAATGGTGCACGAATGGGCTCAAAGGACAATAGCAGGAACGAATCCAGGGTCACAGGTCTGCAGGAAATGCCACAACAAATCACAGAAAGTAAATGGAAGAAAACAACCGTACAGAAATGAATTTCTACGAAATGATTCAACCTGCATCACAAATTTACAATGCTTATGATGCTTATGCATGGGGTTAAACCTGTTTCACGATAACTATTTAACCCTTACCAAATAGAGATAAAACTAACTTATAAGTGTGCAGGCATATCATTATACATAACAACACACCATGACACTCAACCGCGTAACTGGCGCACGCGCAAACCCGTTTCCACCTCCCACACATCAGCACATGCACATGAACAGCTCAGCATAGCATTAAGAGAAGCTACACGATTAACTCCCTACGTTGTCAATTTGATCAAATCCAGTTCATTCTTACCAGTTCCTGCACTTCAGCCTCCTGTTCGTCTAGGGAGCGCACCAGCCGCTTGTACATCCTCTTGAAGTGTTTCATGAGCGCTTCCAGGCCACGTCTCTCGTTCTCAGCCACGAGTGAGCCATTAGTCTCGACGAATTGCTGCAGGGAGGAAAAAACAGTGAAAACACAGTATCACTAATTACTCCTTATCATATCGCCATTTCTTTTGGTTGCAACACCATGGGCGCAGCGCACAGCCCTCCATTGCAGGCCATTTACGAGCTGGAGATTTCTGGGGACCGAAAATGAGACCAGAACGTAACCTTGCATATTAAAAGTCACATGCGTATCCCACACATCCATCGTGCATTTTCATCGCGCACATAATAGTGACCCAGACGCATCTTTCCAACAATTGTTGAAAACACATGCCCAGCTCTAGCGTCATCCAAGACCACTGACCTGCAACAGGCGGCGCGTGTACATGGGCCGGGCACGAGCCATCGTCGACATCAGGTCAACGATTGCGGCCGTGTTCGGACGGCAGTCGCTGCGGGCCCAGCAGGGCCAGCGTCTCCAACGAGACCAGGTCGAAGCCGGTCCCTGGCCGGCGGACATCCGGATGGACTGCGCCATTGATGAGGCGACGCAGCAGCTGCAAACACAATACACTGCGTTAGACAAGGATTGGTATCACAATCACACCGCCGGACACACGAGAGCGTACAGATACAAGGGCTCGTCACAAGCCGTCGCAAGACTGCTGGTTCTCATAGATTCATGTAAGAGCACAAAATACTCAACCTGGGACTCCCGTGCTCCCAGCCCAAGAATGAGTCGGTCTCTATTCAATCAGGTTTCTTTGCACAAATGAGTCATGCACGCGCTTTTTAAATAAAATGGAATACTTCTCAAATATCAATGAGTTCCATAAGTAACAGGGCATGTTGTCCAAGAATCTGAAAACATCCCATGCATTACGCACCCCTGCCCTGGGAAAGGGTTCCAGCATCTGGAGGTCCACTTCCGGGTGATCAGCATTCAGCTCCTCCATCACCTGCTCCCAGGACAGCCGCATGCCGCGGCGGACAACGTCGATGAACAGGTACTCTTCACCGTCCCTGCCAGAGGAGATGCACGTCAGGCTACCACACACACTGTGTGAATTCCTACATGTGACACGTGAATAGGAATATGTCACTGTACAGCACAGATATTCGCAGTCACAAACAAACACGCATACAAGCACAGTGACAAACAAACAAGGCAAGACAAGCACAGTCAGTGCATGATTATGTTGAATTTACACAAAACGACAACGCATTGTGAATGAATGCGATTCAGTTTATGCGATAAGAATGTTGTGTTTAAAGCATGCTACTGTGATTATGAATGGATGAAAATCAAGATGTCAAACAAGATAAGATGATACATATTCTCAGCAACGGAGAAAATGTGACAAGGCTGATCACGCCGGTGATAACTCGGGTATTCTTGTCAGAAAACAGTTTGGAAAGTAACCAAAGCTCTAATGAAGGAAAGGAAGAAGGTCATTAGCTAAATATGACATATAACACAGTGCCATCACTTTTAATTGCTCACTTCATTTGAGTGCAGCACTGATCATGAATGACAAACACATTCCACTCCAACAACATATGCAACGTTTGTACGTGATGACGAGTTGTGTACACGTAACAGGTGTTTTCGACTATTATGGTAGCAAATTTCAAGGTTTGGTATGACTATTACATTGCAAGGGATGCCATATAATCGTCGACATCTATTTATCTTGCATTTTATTTTAGCACAAAGCAAGCTTCTCATAAGCCTCCCACACGGAAGGCAATCCAATCGCCCATGAGGCTTACATTTTAACCAATTAGCGACATTCCTTATTAACAAATATCACAATTACTGCAGCACCCAAAACACCCCGGCTTGCATGTACTCTCTACACATTATGCACACCTGCTATACATTGAAAACCTGCCTAGACATTCAGGCATACTGCCAGAGCTTTGTACCAAGACGTAAGGAAGAACGCTAGAAGTTCGCCAAACATGTGTGATCACGGCAGTTACAAAACATTAGTTAATTGCCAACATGAAAATTAGGTGAATAATAAGATGAACGTATGCATGTGATCAAATCATCCACAGCCAAATTCTATAGTTGTCAAATTCTTTGGGAATCACGATATTCTTGAGCAACATAAATATGATGTGCATAACATCACTGATTCCCATCATGTGATTAGCTCGAGGAAACATAGTTAAGTGCACAACTAATCACAGCAGTTCGAAATCTATGGCAATGAAATCAAAACCTATGGCAAAAAAATTCAAAAAATAGGCTATTAGATACCAATTGATAAAGCAGGAGCTCCCAAAAACCCATGACCTGAACAACCAGTCTGTCCCAATGCCGTTGATAGTGCTAGAGGAACAGACTCATTTCCCACGCCCCCTTCGGCAATGCTTACGCTTTGTGCCAGCAGATCATCGAGCTGTGCGGTAACTGCACGTTGTGGAGATTGACGCCCAGCATGCCGGCTACAGAGGAGTACACTGTCCCCATTACAGTCTGCGTCCCGGATCCGCAGAGTGGAGGTGGCGACGAAGGTACATAACCTGAAAAGGAATGGCAAGCCATTGAATGCGTTGCGCTCCATGCAACCCAATCACCTACACATATTCAGAACGAAGAGCCCATCAGCCCATTCATTCATAAACGCAGCAATAGGTTCCAAAACAACTGTTTACTGAGATGTACCAGTGCATAGCAAGAAAATGTAAACAACAATAAATTAAACCACACTGACCGAGCCAAAACAACACATGTTGGTGACAACCGCATGAGCAAGCGCTTAATCATGGTTATCATAGTCAATCATCACCGTCACCGTTCGAGATTGTGCACACATCACAATAGCGTGTTCGGTGTTGCGCCATCTGTGAGGAGCACAGTAATACGCCTCAGGGCAAACGGACGGGAACGTATGGCTGACAGCATTGTTTTGCAAGTCACAGCCCACCATTGATAACAACACAAAAAAAAAACAGATCAGACATAGAAGTCTGCACATGTTCTGTGCGTGACTTCACCCATTCAAACGTGCAAGGAACGAGGATTAATCTTCATTGCAATCCACTTACCAGCGTGCTCAGTTCGGAAGCCGATCCGTCCTCCGGTCCGTCCTCCTTCATCAGGGCCAGCTGGTCATACAGCACGACGTTCATCGCGTTCAGAAGCTTCAGCGTCTGGTCATCCGTCCACATCGTGGGTCCGAACGGGTTCTTCTTGCACGTAGTCCAGGCGGCGGCCGGGTGCTCGGGGAGCCGTCCACGCAGCTCATCCAACACCAAGCCGGCGATCTTGCTGTAGCAACTGCAAAGGCCACACCAGGTCAAGACTCGCACGTGCACATCCGAGTTCATCTTTGTTCCGGGGGAGGGGGGGGGGGGGCAAGAGACAGGGATACGAACGTTAAAAAGCTAAGACGTAAGCAATGGGAGAGATGAGGGCCTTGTGTGCCATCGCCCTGACGGCGATTTATAATATACGCGATCACGGCGATCACGCTGTTTGAACAGCACGGACAAATACCACATTCAGCACCAAAAAACAACACGAAATTCGACCAAATCGCTTGTTAGAATGCATGTCAAATTCTGTTCACGCCTTTCTTGCAAAGCACAACACATCGTGATATTTGGCTGGAGCAAGTGATAAAGGGAAAGGTGGATTCGATAACCGTAGATAACATCGGCCTGCAATCGAGTGTCATCCGCACGAATAAACACAGAAAAGGGACTTGACATATGCAAACTTGCACCCCTTAGCATGACCTTCATACACATCAGAAACACAACCGAGCTGGCAGAATGTTTCCGCGCAAATCCTAGGACTCCATAAGGAGATCGGACGATTCAAAAAGAGATAAAAGACTCACGTCTGGAGATTGGACTCTCGGTTGTCGGTTTGCTCCGGAACCATCCAGAGGCTCATCAGATAGAAGGCTTCGGGCACGTTCAGATGCTGCACTGGCCGCTGCATGTACTCCCGGAACATGGGCAGCAGCACGACGTCTCGCTGGATCTCGCGGAACAGCATCCGCGCGTAGTAGCGCACAGACAGGTCATCATCCCTGCCCAAAAGCGGGTAGTGTTACACACGTGCCTAAGACAGCATTTTCTCGCTCCGAAGACAAAGTGCGACGTCCGGGGCTTAGTTACAAGTCAATGAGTTTAACTGATGGAGCGAATAGGCTGGTTTGGTCTTTACATTAGCTACGTGATAACAGAACATACGATAAGTGCATGATGGTGATGGTGGATAAACCAGCCTGGTACGTGCGATATAGACAAGCTGGCACGGTGCGACGATCGACGTTAAGTCACGAGCAAGGCATGGCAGTGGCCCTTGGGAGTAAGAAATTGAGCCAATCTTGGTGGCGTCTCACAGACATATCCGAGATACAACTGTCATTTAAAACTGAGATGAAAAGGCGAGACTGTCGTCAAGGACAGCACGGTCCTTCACAAATTACCGCCGGCGTTCCATACGACTCAATTATCGCTTGGAACGACAAGACGTTTCAGAAGCTTCGCAAATAACCATCATGGCGTGCAAAGAAATCTACACTTCAGTAACTGGGTGATCTTCACCATATCCTTTAAAATTGTGAAGTGGCACGTGACGGGTCAAGTGAAGTACATACTACATGGCAGTGCTTCACATATGCGCCTTGCAATTTATGCTTGGCCAAATTTATAAATCTAAGAAAACTGCCGAGACCACAGCACACCGATTATGTAATCCAACTCACGGACGGTGTTGGCGCGAGTAGATGACCTCCAGAAGGGCATCCCGATTGAACAGGGTACCATGGACGGGCACCAGCTTGCGGAACTCCTCCATGGCGGGGTCCGGCAGGCAGTCGACTGTGTAGCATCTGTCAGCCATCTTGGCTAGGGCTGTACGCAGGTGATGGCCAGCCGAGGCGCGGAACCTCGCAGTGCGCCGCCAGCTGCATCCGCACCGCTCAAACACACGCAGCAAGGCAGGTCGGCACGAGGGCTGCACCAAGCGCGGGTACCTGCGAAAAAAAGACAACGGCGTCGCCATTGAGGCGAAAAGGGGGTTCGGGAGGAGGACTACTAGATGGAAGACGTGGCTTAGAATCGCTTTTGTCTCAGAAAATCCTGGCCAAGGCACTGTGCGCAGTGAGGGTGATTAAATCAATACCATCTTCACAAGGAATATGCAGAGAGCAGTGATGCATACAATCAAATGATGTTTTGCAAATTGCCAACCTCCCATACCTTCGCCATGGCTAACTCTGAAAAGCAACTGAAAACAGGCATCTGACAAGGTGGGGGCATTGACTGAAATTAAAATCCTGAAATAGACTTGTGGTAGTATGCATGAATGCAACAGTTTGTAATATGATGCAGAAAGCAATGATAATGTTACTTCTATCAACATTATGCTGCATGAACCTGAGATAGTCTGGCCATAGTCATCTAGATACCCTGACAGAGTGCCCCACAGG